CATAAAAATCCTGGATGAAAACATAGGCAGTAAAGTCACAGACATCCCACGTAGTGGATTTTTCAGTGATACATCTCCTAGGGCAAGAGAAACAAAAGAAAAAAATAAACATTTGGAACTACATCAAACTAAAAGGCTTCTGCACAGCAAAAGAAAACAGCCTCAAAATACAAAGGAACCCCACAATCTGGGAAAACATATTTTCCAAGGATGTATCTGATAAGGGGCTAATTTCCAAAGTGTACAAAGAACTCATACTACTCAGCAAGAGGAAGACAAACAACCCAATTAAGAAATGGGCAAAGGACTTGAATAGACACTTCTCCAAAGAGGACATAGGGATGGCCAAGAGACACATGAGAAAATGCTCAACATGGCTAATCATCAGAGAGATGCAAATTAAAACCACAATGAGGTATCACTTCACACCTGTCAGAATGGCTCCATCAACAAACGACATGTGCTGGCGAGGGTGTGGAGAAAGGGGAACCCTAGTACACTGCTGGTGGGAATGCAGACTGGTGCAGCGACTGTGGGAAACAGGATGGAGGTTCCTCAAAAAATTAGAAATGGAGCTGCCATTTGACCCAGTGATTCCACTCCTAGGAATGTACCCTAAGAATCCTGAAAATTAATCAGAAAGAATATATGTACCCCGATGTTCATAGCATCACAATTTACAATAACTAAAATCTGGAAACAGCCCAAGTGCCCATCAGTAGATGAGTGGATAAAAAAGCTGTGGGACATTCACACCATGGAATACTACGCAGCTATAAAAAAGAAGAATCTCGTACCCTTTGGGACAGTATGGATGGACCTGGAGAATATTATGCTAAGTGAAATAAGCCAGGCAGAGAAAGACAAACATCACATGATCTCACTTATACATGGAATCTATAGAACTTAATAAACTGATGAACAGAATAGATTCAATGACATGGAGCACAGACCAGACTGACGAGTGTAGAGGGATGGAGGAGGGCAGGTGGGTGGAGGGGGAGAGAGTAACCAAAGAATTTATATGCATATATGCACAACCCAAGGACAAGGACAATGGTGGGGAGGGGGATGGGATGGGGTGGAACGGGTCATTGGGGAGAAAAAGGGACATCTGTAATATTTTAAACAAAAATAAAATTTTTAAATTAATTTTTAAAAAAACTATAAGAGAAAGTTTATTTAGAAAGTCACAGAGGTAGAAGAGGTGAGCCCTAGAAGAAATGGGCTCAGGAAACAAGTTACAGAGGCAAAAGATGGGCCTTTGGAGTTCAGGAGAGAGAGGCAAGGAAAACATGCCTGGAGGAAAGGGGTGGGGAAAGTCAAATGCTCCATAGAGACAGTGACACTGGGTCCTCTGTCTTGAGAGTATTTATCTGGAGGTCTCAGGGGAGGATCCCAGTAAAATATTCATCAGCTTTCCAGGTGTGTCCTTTCAGGGTCATGGTCTCTACTGATTGGCCAGCACCAGGATAGGGGGTCATTAGTCATTGCAGCTGGTCCTGATGTCAGTCATGTTGTTACTTGTCTGGTTTTGTTGATTTTCTGGGCCTGGAACTAAAACATAGGTTTATACAAGGCCTAGATGTATTTGATGCGGGTCAGAGCCTTATTGTTGTCCTGGGGGCCTAATGCTTAAGGGCTAGTCTCTGACCTCCTTGGTTCCCCCTCTAAGGAAGTCTAACCCCCATGATTAGCAACATGCCAGGGGAGGGTCCGAACAACATGAGCAGAAATATGAAAGGTCATGGGCTCTAAACCATATGACCAGTGATATGAAAGGCCAGGGTGTTGCTGGTGGGGAGAACTCTTCATCCCCACCTGTTGCTGGGGAATGTGGGGTTCTTGGGGTGCTGCTGAAATAAGAATTTCCAGAGGCCACCACAGGAAGATGAGATATTGTGTTAAGCTTTACTTTTGTGGAATTACACCCCTGAATTTCCAAGGTCCCATTTCCCTTTGTCCCACCAAGGAAGAAGTATAGCTGTGGCTTCAGCAAAGCTGGGATCAAAGCCAGTGTCCATGTTGGAGCAATGTCCAGTCCAGCATCAGTGGCAGTCCATCAGTCCATTGTATGTGGCGTCCAAGGGGCCACATGGCTGTGGAGAGAACAGGGGCAGGAGCAAAGCCAAAGGAACCAGAGAGCCAAACGCCAAGAGCACCCAGAGAGAGAGAATTCCTTTGTCTACGGGGTTATGTATTCCCAAGTTTTTGTGGGCTGGTAGCAGCTCCACCCCCCCTGGGCAGTGATCCCTGTTCCCAGGTTTGATTCCTGATGTCACTCAAACTCACTGCACAGGCACCCATTGTCCCCTTTGTGCAGTCACTTCCCCCAGTAATCTACAAGGGATGGGCTGGTGGTTCCCGGGGAGTGTGAAATTGCAGCTTCCTGGTGAAGCTGTCCAAATAACATGCCTATATCTAGCCATCCTTTTGTTCCTTTCCTATTATTAATTAGCTAATTACAGTGGTTTCAAGAGGGTCTAAACTGCATGACTAGCGATATGCTAGGGAAGGAAAGGTAACCCTGGGGGTAAGGTCCATTGCTAGGCATGAGAATGGGAGGGGCTTCCCACCCTGGTGACCTTCTGTACCTGATCTCCTGTCCTTGCTCTGCTCATGTCAGCTAACTGCCCACCACAGAATGGCTGAAATTTAAAAGACTGACCACATCAAGTGTAGCAAGGATGAGGAGGAGCTGGAATGCCCACACCCGGCGGGTGCAAGGTTAAACGGTATAACCTCTTTGGAAAACCACTTGGCAGTTTCTTAAAAATTCAAATCTATACCTACCACATGATCTTGCTATCCCATGTTTTTACCCAAACATGCGTTTTTGAAAAGCACATGTTAGTACAAAAACTCATACACAAACGTTCACTGCAGCTTTATCTGCACTACTGCCAACTGGAAACAACCCAAATGTCCACCAGCAGGTGAGTGGGTAAAGGCGGTGGGAAGCCTCTACAACGAATGTGACTCAGCAATGAAAGGAGGGAACTGTGGATCCACACAGCAATGTGAATGAATCGCAAAACGGTTTTGCTGAGAGAGGCCAGAAAAAAAGTAACATACTGTGTGACTCCATTTACATAAACCTATTGAAAAGCAAACTAATCTACAGTGATAGATCATTGGGTGCCTGAGCTGCTGATTGGGAGAGAAGAATGACCCCAAAGGGACAGGGGTGAACTTGGGGGGATGAAGGATACGTTCACCATACAGAGCTTGTGATGATGATTTCATAGGTTTACACATATGTCAAAACTTAAATTGTACACTTAAGTATGTGCAGTTGTTTCTATGACAATTATACCTTAGTAAAGCAGTTTTTTAAAAGAATGGATACATGCTAAACTCATAACCATGTCTGATAATGGCTCTCTCTGGGCAATGAAGGAAGAGCCAGGACTAGGAGAGGGTAATGCTTAAAGAGACTTCAGCTTTGTCTTTAATGCTCTAATTTTACATATGAATAGTTATTTATTTATATCTTATTTAATTTAAAATAATTTTAAATAGAAAATTTATAAGTGATTTTCACAAAGCTGCCAGCTTCATAAAATCAGTATTGACCTGCTTACCCCACCCACACATTGTTTCACAGACTGTTCTGTCTGCAGATTTCTAGACTATACAATGTTCAATTAAATATGAAGGTAATGGTTGATTTTTTCCATTTTACAGAATAAACTGTGGTTAGCATATTTCAAATGATTCGAGGCTTTTCCTATCTGATATACATCATTAGCATTTCACTCCTTTGTGTCACACTATTTTGATCCCTTTTAAAATTCAAATCTTATACTATTATAAATTATTTCCATCACTCAGGTTTTCTTGGGGGAACGGGGAACATTCTGAAAGAAGATGAGGGAGGGAGGGAAGTACGCGGAGAGGGCGGTAGGGGGCGCCAAAGGCACACGGAGTGGAGGGCTTGCGATGGAACAGCCTGAAGCCAAAACCTGTAACAGCAGTGACGGGGAAGAAACCTGTACTTTTTTGTCAGTAAGTTACACTTGGCACCATTAGCACGGAGAGAAGTTTAATTCAGGTGAAACAAGGGAAATTTTAAATTGCACATTATAGGATATAATTTCTCATAGGTTAACCTTTCTCAAAGGTTAATTGACCTTTATTTTTGTGGTCAAATAAGAACTTGAACTTTAGAAATGCCCACAACTTGTATCTCAATAAATGCTCTCTCAGTGTCAGGGCTACTTATTTCTTTTGTAGAGAAAGGGCATTGTGACTTTAGTTGTCTCAACAGGCAACTTCCTATGATGCTCAGCGTCCATTTCAATCACTGGAGAGAGGACCAACCCCCATCTCTCTCCTTCCCAACCCTCCCTCTCTCCACCAAAGGGTTCAATCAGTTATGAACACTACGTCACTTTTTTTTAAATGGAGTTTGCGATTGAGGATTATGGATGTGAATTTTGGACATAAGAAAATAACCCCAAAGAAGAATAAGTTTAAGTGCAGAAAGAATCATTTTAAGTAATAAAGTATAAATAAGAAATAAAGAAGTGGTAGCACCAATGGTGCATGGCTGAGTTATGGTACACTAATGATGATCACAAAAGTATAGCCCTACAACAATAAAAGTTACTTTGCTTGCAACAACTAAAAACTTTAGAATGGCAAGCATGTAAGAGCTCGGAGTCGTCACTCCTTCCTAACAAGTAAAGCGCTCAGCAAGCTGAAAAAGAACAGCTCTTCTTAGACCCACCAGAGAAGTGATGTCATAGGGCAAACTGCTGCCCTCAAAATTAGAGCCCAGCAGGCGGATACAGAGAATCGCAACGTCCCAGGGCAGAAACCCACAAGCAAAAACCTCTCTGGGAACCAGTACAGGGCAGGGAAACCAGTGCTGTAACTGACAAACAGAAGGCTCCGTGTGGACAAGACTGAGAGAAACCCTCCACACTCCTGCGAGTTTCACCTCTAGGAGTTGGACCAGGTTCTCACAGGGACTACCAGTAGGGGGAGGGGGAAAGGAACCATTTTGAAAGACCCAGAGCATTGTGTTTTTCTTAAGGCCTGCCCTCCAGAGAAACTGTTTTATCAGAGCCTAAACTACTGGGGTTTTATCAGAGCCTAACCAAACTGGAGGAAGGAAACACCCAACTGCAGGTGGCTATAGCAATCCCATCCCTCCTAGCAGGGAGAGGGGACTGAGAAGCATTTGTGAAGCTCAGTCCAGGGTCACCCGCTCACCGAAACACAAGGACCTAATCACAGAAGTGTAGAAGGCCCCCTCCCCCCCACCACACCACCACATCACTGCAGGCGCCTTTACTGCAGTTCAGTCACCCACTATCAAGAAAAAATTACAAGGCGTAGCAAAAGGCAAATAGCACAACTTGGAGACAGAGCAAGTATCAAAACCAGGGATGGCAGAGATGTTGGAATTATGAGACAGGGAATTTATAACTATGATTAATATCCTAAGGGCTCCAACGGATATACAGCATGCAAGAACAGATGGGCAATGTAAACAGAGGGGTGGGAACTTTCAGAAAGAACAGAAAACAAATGCTAGAGATCAAAAGCATTGTAAGAGCAATGAAGAATGCCTTTGATGGGCTCCCGAGTAGGCTAGAAACAACTGAGGAAGGGATCTCTGAGCTTGAGGATA